TGTAGTAAAGACAAACGACAGCGATTTGTGAATATTTTTAATGAAGTTTCAGATATGTTAGACAGAGACAAACATAATTTTATTGTCTAAACAAACTGCACTGCTAATTTGCATGCATGCGACAAAGATAGACGATGTTTTCATGTTGCATGATCTATCATATTTGAATGATGAATAGTTAGGTTATGTTAAAGCAGGTTGGGTTGTTTTAGAATAATACTTTGGTCTTCGGTGTTCCTGTCTTGAAGTATTCTACTCATAACTTTTTTTCTAAAACAAAAACTCCCCACTAACGTTATTATTAAGGTACCACTCAAAACCATGAAATAAAATTAAAATAAAAATAATCAGTGAAATAACCTAACTTCGCAAAATCATAATATATATTTGTTGTCATTATGTTACTGACATCGTGATTTTATCATCGACGTACGTTCATTGATTACTTCAGTACAATTTATGGTATGACGTAATAGTCATCTTTCATGATTTTGACTATAGTACGTCTTTGTAGATTTCTAACCTAATATCAAGTTGGTATGGAAAGTCAAATTTAGTGTAATTGCGTAAATTAAATCCCGTTTGCCTCTTAAGGAATGTAGAATATCAGTTGGTAGAATTAAATCATTCAAAAATATCCTAAAAAGGGTAAATAGGGTGCATAACATATATTTTCCCTTTTACCTACATCCTGTATTGGTTTTTTGCGAAATAATACTAAAATCAGAGTATAATCTACAGGGCGAATATTAATAAAATACAAGGAAATAAAAATCTGAATGCGACACCGGAATTTTGAGTTACCGAAAACATTTTTAGTTCAATTTTAAGCATTGGTTTTCAAAAGCCTGATCATACCAATGTTGATAACCTATGGAATTTTTAGCGTTGTAAACTCATACAAATAACATATATAAATAAATATTTTTAACTGAAACACAAACAGTGGCGCAACCAATCTATTTGCTAATTAATTAGTACCATTCATTGCCTTTGGAAGTAGGAGAGCAAAGAGGAAGAAGATTGTTGGTTTGGGAGGGTGCCATGACATTGTTAGCTAGTAGTCGGGAATTATAAAATGATCTAAAAAATGAAATTTAAGATTTGTCGTTGTGGAAATAAAGTTTCGTTTGGCTCAATTTCACCGATTCAAATTTGCTCACAGCGCTTGCGAACTTGCAGGCTACTGATTCTCTTCAGAAAGCGGGGCCGATTCTGCTTGACTATCACGCCTATTTTTGATGAAGTCCCTTAGATATGGAATGGCAAGGTCTCTGTGAATGATCCTATTGGAGACATACCATAGCGGATATGATTGCCGCAAACGTAATTTAGAACTTGGTTTTTCATTGTGCTTTTGCCACCTTATCCCCTTGTCAAGAGTAACATCCAGGGCCGGCTACAGAGTTTTGTGCGCCCTGAGGTGAAATATGCGCCCTCCCCCCACATTAATGGGGAACAAGGGTGGATCCAGCTTCTCAGTCGGGGTTACTTAGATGCGGATTTAGGAAGCTATCTAGAGGGACGAGTGGTGTGGTGGTCACCGGACTTATGTTCACGAAGATGCGTTAGGCATTCTGAGAGCGAACTCCTTATAGAAATTGAAGAGCTGGGGAGGGGTTGCGGCGGCTGGATCCGCCCTTGATTGAGAATTTTGCACCCCCCAGGACACTGTGGCCTGCCCAAAGAAATTAGGTTACAGTGTACGGACACTCTCATTGCTGCAATCTGAAGAAGTTTTTTTCCATGAAAAGCCCGAATAGTGCACTAATGGTTGTCACAAACCTACGTTCTTTTGACGTCATTGTACTACATAGAAAATTTTACTAAAAGTTGATTTGAAGGCGTGGGAAGTATAGAGTCAATATACTTGACGCCATTTTTTGTCACATATACAATATAATCCTACAAAGTATAATCATTAGCATTGAGTTATGAGCCACAATATGTTTTATTGTAGATCACAACCTCATAAACCATAATATAAGCAATAAAGAATATTGCAATAAACTACCGATATATTAATTAGTGGTAATTACGAAGCACATCTAAATTTGACCCCATCGCGTAACACTCATCATCACGTAATGTTGTGGTATTAAACGTTTTATAATGCACATTTAACGGTTTTAACAGCTGCCCATATAACCGCCTGATTTAGGAACTATGTAGTTTAATTGTATTTGGAACGAATTTAAGTATTTATTGAGAGGAGCGTTTAAAGCCGTCAAAAACCTTTCGGTATTTGCTAGTATGATAAAATTAGCATTAATAAATTGATATTGGTAGTCAAGACAAAGGATAAAACTGTTACTTGAATTTTATATCTGTTATGGAATGTGGTCCAAGAAATAACGAGATTTTGCTTACAGAAATCCAACAATTTTTGCCACAGTAAATTTTTTGCTGGTATCATTAGGTTATTGCTTTCTAATGGTAAGTTTAAATTAATGTCTTTCATGGAAATATAGTCCAAGAAATAGCGAGATATTGTTTACAGAAATCCTACAATTTTTGCCACAGTAAATTTTTTGGTAGTATCATTAGGTTATTGCTTACTAATGGTAAGTTCAAATTGGCATCATGATAGGGGTGGAGCATTTGCCGCCATTTGATCTAAAATCTTGAAAACTATCAATCCTGTGTAAAAAAGTAATGGGAACAGTTTTTCAGGGAATTAAGTTATTTATCATGTTTGCCTTTAGAAAAATGTGCCATATTCAACAGATTACAAGAAATAAAAGGATAAAGGTGCATGTGAGCATGATATATCCGCGTATAATGGCTAAACTAAGAATGTAAGAGTGTATAGCACTACTATTTCTTCTTTGTAGAGAATAAAATTTGATATAAAACAGGTCTTTTAGTTTTTTCGATCTGAGCAAATACTTCGACTGTGTGCATCACGATATAGTTATTTTAAAGCTACCGTATAACACAATCGATCCTTCTGCTGTAGTGCTTCTAAATTCTTATTTAGAGCTAAGGCACTAGCTCATCGAATACTGCTTTACTTAACTAACCCCGGTCCTCCTGATCCCATATTGTTTGAGGGGTCTCGTGATTGTAAACAGTATATATTAAAACGCTACTCTTAAAATTTGAAACGAATTTAAATTCTCATTAAATTGAAAGTGGTACGCGCGTAAAAACCCCTTCCAACAGGCAGTAGTAAAGAAGGTATTTGTAATTCAAACAAATTTAATTACGTGTATATTACACTTTTACTGCTCAGTGTAAATTCGAGAAGGCCGATTTAAATGAAGGTTCACGCTTAATACGTGATGGGAATAAGAAACCAGATGCCTAAAGACCACTTTTCTAAGATAGGTCACCCAAAGCTAATATCAATCTGTAGACGCTAAATCTATTTCGTCTTAGCCTTATGAGTCCACGGGGCCCGGGCCCAGGGCCGTGGCTTGATAGGGGGCCCCCAAATGCCCAAAAATCAATATCTGGGAAACCCCCGCTCTTCAATGTTCTCCAATGAAAATATAGGGGATTTCACTCTGCTTTGGGGACCCTACAGCCGCAGGCTGAATGACACTCAGTGGCTTACCTTGGCCTATTGTGGAGAGGAGCCTAGGAGGATTTAAGATACAGACATAGACCCAGCTTCAACCATTCTGATAATTACAAAAAGATATTCCAAATGATCTTTACAGAAAGAAATGATTTCCCGTCAAACGAAAAACCTAGTGGCTGTGAATGCCCAGATACCAGACGAAGTCAGGGAGAAAGAAATGAAGAGGAAAAAGTACGTCAGTTGAAGGGGTACCTTGGCTTTTTAAATTGATTAAAAAATGTATTGTGGGAAAAATTGTAATTTTGTTTGGACCTGGTATTGCACGATTTAATTTTGTTCATAGTGGGAGCCGCGGTCTTGTCTGCTTGCGAACTTGCTTGAGCAGTCTACTGACTCATGCTACAGAGGGTTATATGTGATTCCGTTTGACGATAACGTAACTGCGCCTGTTGTTTGATGTAGTCTCTTAGGTAAGGGATGTCGAGGTATCTGTGAAGGGTCTCGTTGGAGACATACCATGGGGCGTTAGTGATCGTACGCAACACCTGCAGACTACTCATTTGCGATCTGGTGAGAAAACACCATGCTGCACATGCGTAAGTGATTGATGGTCTAATAACCATCTTGTATAGCCAAACTTTGAGGTTCTACATAGCCTAGGGCCGCAACGTAATTTGGAATTTAGTTTTTAAAGCTTCAGTGTGCTTCTTCTTGGTCATCCCCTTGTCAAGAAAGATACCAAGATACTTAGCAAAATTTTCAGCGATTACCTTTCTGATCTGGAGGTTATCACTGCTTGGGGGCACAACAATCTGGTTTAAAACCTCCACAATACAGCAGTGTACTTTGACGAAGAGGAAGTCCCCAACGCTCATCCGGCTTCGGTAGATGGACAAGTTTGTTCAAAGAGCGGTTCATTTCTGCAGATCAGAGTCCAGATCACCGAGGACTTCAACTGACATAAATAAATTTCGTCAATCCCGGCAGATTATGTGAAAAACTATCTGTTTAAAGCTAAGAAGTCCTTTTCTCCACATAACCTCCTCCTTCTGTACAAGGCCCAGGTAATACTTAGCCTCGAGTACTGCTCACATGTTTGGGGTGCTGCCGTTCCGACTACATTATCAATGCTCGTCACTGTATAGAGGAGGACTGTCCGACTGATCGATGACTCGGAGATCTGACGTTTTTTAAATAAAAATATTTTATATCTTTAACCTTTACAATATTATTAGTTATCTTAAAATGTATCGTTTCAACAACTTCTTTTCTGAAAATTATCTCGATAGTATCATGGATCGTGGTATATCTATATCCTATACAATAGTATGCTGTCTATCTTTAATTCATCAACCATCGTTCTGATTAAATAGCAAATAGTAATTATAATTAATAGTAATTAATGCAAATTGATCATTTACAATGCCTGTAAATGTTTACTTTCAGAATTTATCAGCATGAATATCTTTTTCAGTATTATTGGCGCCGTGCCTGTGCGTGAGCGTCCACTTCGAGAACAAGGATGGCGGCTTCTTCATCAAGCAGTCGCCGGTGAGGCAGCACTACGGTGGACCTCTTGCCCCCGCTACTACTGCGCCGTCCTCAACGGACGCCACTGGATCGGGGGTGGCCGCCGCCACTGCCGGGGTGCCGCTCTCTACCGACAAGTTTGTCGTCTTCCAGGTGAACTCTAATTTAGGGTTAATTGAATATATTGGTGCAAATGAATATTTTATAACGGGTGTTCGACCCTAATGATTGGGATCTCAGAAACTGTAAGGGATACGAAGTCGCTTAAATTGGGGCAAAGTTGCGTATTTAGGTAATTAACGAAATTTCGCTTAGAGAGCTTCTAAATTCAAAGAACTTCCGGAAAGAGATGGAGAAAATTGAATTTTCTCAATTTCGTTTTAATTTTTTCCAGCATCAACTTTATTTTTGTTATAGACGACATACTGGATGTTTGCACAGGTGAACGGAGTTTTTAATTCTGATGCCACACATGTATAATACGTCATATATTGACATTTTGAAACGTTGGTTGTTTAAAAAAAAGCAGAATTTCCTAGGTAAGCCTTGAAATTATCAGATAGTCATTTGATTCGCATACTAGATTTATCCCAAAATTATTTTTATTTTTTCCATCTTTATTTGAGATCAAAATAAATTGCATGTTGTCATTGTTAACTATTTTCCTCTACAAGATGTCGTAGTCGCTTAAATGCGTATTTAGGTAACTAACAAAATTCTGCTTAGAAAGTTTCAAAATTCAAACTACTTCCGGAGAGAGACGGAAAAAACGAATTTTCCCAAAATTTTTATAATTTTGTACCGACTTCTGCCACTTTTTCTCCTTTAAAAGATGGCGTAATTAGAATGTCAATATGACGTTTCGTTTCTCCTCCTCAAGCATCAACTTTATCTTTTCTTAAGCCATATTAGATTTTTGCGCAGGTCAAAAAAGTCTTCAATTGTGATTCCAAAAATGCCATACATTGACATTGTTATCAAAAAAAAATAATAGAATTTCCTAAGTAGGCCTTGAAATTATCAGATAGTCATTGTGACTTTACTTGAGATGGAATTGCAAAGTAACTTACATACTGTCATTGTCAATCTTTCTTCTCTACAAGATGGCGTAGTCAAATTGTCAATTCGAGGTTTCTTCTTTCGACTTCCATCACCAACTTTGTTTTTTCATGTGTATGCTGTATTGGAATTTGGTACATTTAATTAGAGTTATCAGTCCTAAATTCTGTGATGTGTTTCCTTAGTTGGCCATGAATTTGATGTTTGGTGAAAATTATAAGGAAATAAAATAATAATAATCATAAATAAGCAAAGGTTTTTTTTTTATATCGAAACAGCCGCGCAGGCAGAAGCCTAAATGCCGGAACACCGCGGCTGCTATGATGATCCCAAAGAAATCTTGTTAATACGATTTTTGAACTGCCTAAGGTTAGTAGAACTGGGAAAAGCTTTATCCCGTAGTTTGTTCCACAATCTACACACCCTCGGGACAAAGGAGCGGTCGTATCGGCCAGTTCTGGATGTACGAAGTTTGACACGGTTAGAATGGGACGCCGAAGTCAGGCGGGTCTGTCTGGCAGGCACATCGTGCGGCGGCATCATGGAAGAGAGCTCTGAGGAGCAAAGCCCGTTGGTGTAGCGATAGAAAAGAGCTAGTTCGCCGACGGCCCGCCGGTGCGAAAGAGTCCCGAGACTGTCTGTTAGAGAAGAGTCATCGATCAGTCGGACCGCCCTCCTCTGGACAGCATCGGGCATGGACAATGTAGTCGGGGCGGCAGCACCCCAAATGTGTGAGCAATACTCGAGGCTAGGCCTTATCTGGGCCTTGTATAGAGTGAGAAGGTCATGCGGAGAAAAGTACTTCTTAGCCCTAAACAAAGACCATAGCTTTTTCCCAGCAGCTGCAGCTATTGAAGAGATGTGTTTGTGCCAGATCAGGTCCTCGGTGATCTGGACTCCGACCAGCCGAAATGAATGGCTCTTTGGTAGGACTCGACCGTCCATCGAAACTGTATGAGCGCTAGGACGCTTTTTGTTCGTCAAAGTACAGTACTGTGTTTTGGAAGCATTGAACTGTACAAGATTGTTGCGTCCCCAAGCAGTGATAGCCTCCAGGTCTCTTGTCAGAGAAGAAGTCGTCGCTAGTCTTCTTTTTTCCAGCTCAGCGGCAGAGATCGGCTTGTCACTCTGAATTCCTGCATGTAGAGTGCTGTCATCAGCGAAGCTGTGGATTGGGTTGATCGTGCAGGAAAGGAGGTCGTTGATATGTAAGAGAAACAGTGTTGGAGCCAAGACCGATCCCTAGGGAACACCTGCGTTGACGTTGTGGGATGAAGAGGAGAATCCGTCAATTACGACGGATATCTTGCGGCCAGAGATAAAGTCAGCCACCCATCTGCAAAGCTTTTCTGGGAGGCCGTAGGATGGAAGTTTGCTCAAGAGGGCAGCGTGCCACAGCTGATCGAACGCTTTCGTGATGTCAAGAGCAACGACATGAGCCTCACCATGAGACTGGATGAGTTTACTCCACAGTTGCGTGACGTAAGCTAGGAGGTCCCCTGTGGATCGTTGGTGCCGGAAACCGTACTGCCTGTCGCTAATCAAGCTGTGACGTTCGAGGTAGTCCAGAAGCTCGCGATTTATGCCAGGTATTCCATATCAGATGTTTAAAATGTTGTCCGTTATTTTGTGAGCAATGCCTGACACTTCTCTGTACATTGCTCACTGGTCGAATTATTTCACTTCTTTTCAGTCTTCCAAACTCTGTTACTATGTTCAATTTGAGGTCTGGTCTAGTATACGAAACAAATGACTATTTGATATTTTCAAGGCCTACCTAGGAACTTATGCTTTTATGGAATAACTAAGGTTTAGCAATGTTAAAGTATGACATATTATACATTCTTCAAATCAGAATTAAAAACCCTATTTACCTGCGCAAAAATCCAATTCAGCGTCCATGAGAAAAACTAAAGTTGATGCTTAAGACAAAACGTTATACTGAAATTCTAATTCTAATATCATGTAGAGGAGAAAAAGTAACAATGGTTATGTGCAATGTATTTTAAAATCCCACTGCAAATAGAGTCAGGAAGAAATTAAAACGATTTTGGGAAAATTCTCCTTTTCTGTCTCTCTCCGAAAGTACTTTGAATTTCAAAACTTCGAATTTGATACACTCGGTATATTAGACCCTGCGAAGAGTTTTGGGTCAAACAGATTAATTCGATACTTTTCGCCATTATTTCGGTCTTCTTAATCAAAAACCAGACAAAGTCACTCAAGGACGCAAGAGAAAAAAGTAGGGGAAGCGTTTTGCCTGTATTGCTTTATTTTAAATACTTTTTTTTGTTCCAGAGCTCGCAACCGATTTCGGTTCGTGCTAGCTATGGACCATTTTCTACCAAACAGACGGTTCCAGCAAGATATGTGGTGCCAGATCCGTTACCAATGAATACCTCAGGTTAGTATGTATAATATTCATCTTTAATAACATATTTTCAATAAGGTTTCTGATGCACTGAATTCGAATTTGTGGTCAAAATATTTCAATTGGCTCTAGTTCCCGAGATATGGCGGCTTGATTAGCGACAGGCAGGCTCATGCTGTTGCTCTTGATATCGAGAAAGCATTCGATCAGCTGTGGCATGCTGTCCCCTTATGCAAACTTCCATCCTATGGCCTTCCAGAGAAGCTTTGCAGATGAGTGGCTGACTTTATCTCTGGCCGCAATATATCGATCGTAATTACCGGGTTCTCGTCTTCATCCCACAATGTCAACGACGGTTTTTTCAGGAATCAGTCTTGGCTCCGACATTCTTACATTTCAACACCACCTTTCCTGTACGATCAATCCGATCCACAGCTTTGATGACAGATAGCACTTTACATGCAGGAATTCAGAAATGAATGTCGATCTCTGCCGGTAAGCTATAGAAAAGAAAGGAGGTTATAATTGCTTGGGGAGGCAATATTCTGGCAGTTTAATGCTTCCAAATCACAGCACTGTACCTTGACTAACAAGAAGCATCCTAGCGCTCATCCAGTTTCGATGGATGGCCGAGTTCTACCAAAGATTCATTCATTTGGATTGGTCGGAGTCCAGATCAGGATTTGATCTTGCACGAACACATATCTTCGATAGCGGCAGCTGCTAGAAAAAAGCTAGGCTATTTGTTTAGAAGTAATTTTCTGCGCATAACCACCCCACCCTGTACAAGACTCTAGATAAGACATAGCCTCTAGTTCTGTTCACATGTTTGGGGTGCTACCGCCTCGACTACCTTATCCATGCTCAATGCTGTTTAGAGAAGGTCTCTCCGACTGATCGGTGACTTTTTTCTAACGGACAGTCTCGGACCCTTTCTCTGTCTCCCATCACGCGATGCACTTGCCAAACAGACACATCTGACTTCGGCTTCCCATACTAACTGTGTCGAACTCCGTAGACCCAGGACTGACCGATACGACCGCTCCTTTATCCCTAGGGTATCGAGGTTGGGGAAGAATCTACCTGAGGAATCTCTTTCCAGTTCGACTAATCTTAGGCAGTTCAAAAATCGGATACACACAGTTTCTTTAGGCTCATCATAACAGCCGCGGTAATCTGGTACTTAGGCTTCTGTCTACGGGGCTGCTTCAGTTTAAAAAAATATCCTAACCTAAACTTGCAAAACTAGCGATGTCTGAGATAACACGGCAAATATTTTTTTTTCAAAAAACCATAAGAATCATCTCAGAGTACAAGACTTGCCGATTCAAATCTCGTTGTGATTGCTTTGACATCTTTTTTTGTACTAGTAGGATCACATATACTAAGTGACATATAAATCCGAACACCCAATTTAAATGGTTTTATTTTAATAAAGTTTTGTATAAGTACTTAATGAAGCATAATAAGTAAATGATAAAAATTTCAAAATGATTGCACTGCTTTAAAGCCCTTTGACCTTTAATAATGTGTGGATGCACCCTGATGTGCTACGCATTCTCCAACGCGCCTAGGCATGCTTCTGATCAGGTGGTCAATGTCCTGTGGTATCTCATTCCAGGCAACCACCAACTACTCTCGAAGTGCTTCTAGAGTCTGAGGAGGACGTTGCAAATTGAGCAATCTCCTACCCATCATATCCCACACGTGCTCAATTGGGGATAAGTCGGGAGATCTTGGTGGCCATGGTAACAATGTGACATCATTATGTTGAAAGAAGTCTATTGTGACTCTTGCAACATGTGGTCGGGCATTATCTTGTTGGAAAGTTGGATCTGCCAGGGTGTCAAGATAGGGTAAAAGATGGGGTTCTAGAACTTCGTGGATATAACGCTGCGCGTTCATGTTACCTCTGATGAAGATTAAAGGTGACCTGGAACCATAAGCTATAGCACCCCAAACCATAACTCCAACAGTGTGATGAACATGTCTTTCAACAAAAAACTGTGGATTCCTCCTTTCACCACGTCGCCTTCTAACCCTGGCACGACCATCGTGCATGCCTAAACAAAATCGAGACTCGTCACTAAAGATAATACTGTTTCATTCCTGATCCCAGAGTGACCGTTGTCTGCACCACTCAAGGCGATTACGTCGGTGTTCTCGAGTTAAAGGGAGGACCCAGTGTGGCCGGTATGAAAACAAGCCAAATCTTCTCAAGTGGAGAAACGGTCCCTTAAGGCCTTAGGCGGCGATCTTCACGGTCTGTTGTTCTACGGCGGCGTCCAGTGCCCCTTGCTCTTTGCGTACGGCTTTCTCGAAGCCATGCCTGACAACACCTAACCACAGTGTCTACACTTCTTTGCACTCTAACTGCAATTGCCCGAAAAGAAAGTCCAGCTTCCCGAAGTCCCACTATACGGCTCCTATCAAACTCACTAAGTTGACGAAATCGTACAGGTCTCCGTACTCTAGGCATCGTAACCGATCGTAAAGGATGTCAAGAATCAAAATCCGCCAACGTTGATTCTTTACTGCGGCTGAAATATTCATTTTTAGAGCGTTAGTGAATTAAAAAAAAGCAGTATAAAAACCGGAATGTCCAACTGATAAGGCTGAACATTTTTTCACTTGTTATTTACAGTAAGATAAATACATTCACCAACTTTTATTAAAATAAAACCATTTAAACTGGGTGTTCGGATTTATATGTCACTTAGTATATCTGGCAGCAAGAACATTGATTTACAGGCCAAGGCGGTGTTTCAAATGGTTCAAATAAGATTTTTTTGAATACTTGCTGTATCTATTCAGATGCATCGTAAAACTTAAAATATTAGTAATTTCCACGAACACAAATTCTATTCGAAAATCTAAGATTGCTACATAAGAAGTTGGAAAATTCATTTTATGTCAAAGTTTACAATGAAAAACATACCCATATACCCGAAATCAGTCAGTTGCAACTTGTGAACAGTTTCCCTTTCCATCATTTGTGAGGTCACCTATTTCAAAATTGTAGACCATTCAAGTGCAAATAAATAAAGCTATCAGACTTTTAAATCTTTCAGCGAACTTTGTATAGCAAATAATACTTCCATTGCAGTCTATAATCCAAATGTGGAATCATTTATCGAATTCCGGTAGGTTCAGATTCGTCATTGATTGGAACTGATTAAATTTAAATCCAGTTGCGATGCACAATGAAAATAATGGGCTCTTTGTTAACCCGCAAAAGAATTCGAAAACCAATAGGAATGCAACGCTGTTTCAGCGCAGTTTATAAATAGCTTCGAGTACTTTGTATTATATCTGCAATCATTTTTTTAACAGTGGCCCGAAAAAGTACGTGTAGTTACTTTTATGAACTTTTCTCTAAAGTTTATATTCTTTGAGATTTATTATTATTTATTACCTATTTGAAAAATGCAAAATATGTCAGACGGAAAAATAATATTGTAATGTAAAAACATTTTCGTGTTGCCAGAGTTTCTGAACATTCTTCAAACATCCATCAACAAAATCCCAAAGCAGCTTAGAGGATCTAATCTATTCGTCATTGTCTGTCAAGGCGGTCCGTATGACCTTTGCCTTTGTGTCAAAGTACGTCAGTCTGTGAAACCAGTCATGCTTAAATAGAAACAGAATATGAAAAAAACAATGAGCATTGTTCAAAATCACTGTACTAATTTTGAATGCCGAAAAAGAATTTGGTTGGAGATTTCCTAAAATACGCGATGCGATTCTGCTTGTTCATAACATCGCTGCGCCTGATGTTTAATGTAATCCTCTAAATAAGGGATGTCGAGATCTCTGTAAGGGTCTCGTTTGAGAGGCTCCTGTTTTGCCGAACCTGCAGAGCTAGGATATGCGTCTTCGTTAGAAAGCACCAAGCTGCACACAATGAGTATGTAATAGTGCGTCTAATCATCATTTTGTAAAATCGAATTTTGTTAATCAAGCTCAATTTTTCAGATCTACATAATAAATGATAAAGCTGCGGGGAAGTAATTTTGAATTTAGTTTTAAGCATTTTTGACTGATTAATTTTGATCAGCCACTGATCTGCCCACTCGCTCCCCGCATATTGTAGCCAGTCATGGACCAGGTTACCAGAACAAGAATGGACTACTAATGCACTGTTATCAGCGTAGAAACAGACTTCATAGTTGCTGGGGTTAGGGAGGTCGTGAATGAACAATAAAGGATTGGTCCAAGGACCTTTTTAACATGCTTTTATTAGCTTGTCCTGTATGTATGTATGTATGTAACCGAATCTTCGAGCATAATTTTCACCAATCTCCAGAAGTTTGATTAATTTGAAACATCGCACATGTATCAAGGACCGATTACAATGCAATATCATGACATGTCCACAAAAAACTAATTGATAAATCGCACTAAAAATGGAAAATTAATAATAGTTTAAAAAATCTAAAAAACACGCTTTTATAGCTAACCCACTGGTTGATTTAGAGGTGGGGCGCCATTGTGTTACTTTCTGTCACATCATGGTGACGGAGGCGTACTAACTATAAGTTCTAGCTATAGGAACTGAGCATTATGATTTTTTGGAATCCTTTGGTATTCCAAATGCTGTCCCTCTTTGACATCACTTGTTTACAGCACAACTCTTACGATTTATACGTATATACGAGTATTGTGACTTGTGACAAATCTAAGTCGTAATATATTAGCTATATAGATTGCACTTAAAAAGTGATTTATGTTCTGTTTGTTGCTCAATAGTAGCTTGACTGATTTTGTTCGGGGTTGGTGTTGCAGCGCAGCACTATGTTAGATGAATGCCTAAATAGGAAATAAATAGATTTGTTTAGCGGTGGGCCTGTGGCCTGTCGAGAAACTGCTTCGATCGATGCTCAAAATCAATACCACACGTCCCGCATCTCTTCTCGCGTATGTGTCTATTTATGTTGAATTCGTTTAAATCACAGAGCTGCTGCACTATACGTGAATATGTACAGCCCTGTATTCCTGTACTTGTTTAGTACAAACATACATTATCAAAATAA